TGGGCTTCCGAGCAGCAGCAGAAGCCGCGCTGCTCACGTAATGCGCTCTCCTTCTCTCTCTCTACCTCTCTCCTTACTCTCTCGTCTCTCTCCTCTCTCTCTTTATTTGTATTTTATTTTTTTATTTTTACGATCAGTGGAAACAAGAAGATGCTCGGTGTAGTCGGCACTTTGCTTCGTTCATCATTTCGTATTTTTTTTTTTACTTTGCTTTATGTGAACCCCCACCTCTCGCTCACTCTCTCGCTCACTCTCTCGGTCACTCTCTCGCTCACTCTCTAGCTCACTCTCTCGCTCACTCTCTAGCTCACTTTCTCGGTCACTCTCTCGCTCACTCTCTCGGTCACTCTCTCTCTCGCTCACTCGCTCACTCTCTCGCTCACTCTCTCGGTCACTCTCTCTCTCGCTCACTCGCTCACTCTCTCGCTCACTCTCTCGCTCACTCTCTCGCTCACTCTCTCGCTCACTCTCTCGCTCACTCTCTCGCTCACTCTCTCTCTCGCTCACTCGCTCACTCTCTCGCTCACTCTCTCGCTCACTCTCTCGCTCACTCTCTCAGTCACTCTCTCAGTCACTCTCTCGCTCACTCTCGTTCTGCACGCAGCCCCTCTCTCTCATCTCTCTCCGCTTGCCGCACGGTTGCGGAGTGTGAGACCCAGAGCGGTCGAGGCAAGCCATTATGTCACCTTCACAAATGAAATAGTAACGTAAGACGCGCCGTTTAATAATGCATAAAAGCAAGCGGAGTTGAAACGTTGTTGTGACCCGTCTAGAGTTTCCCGATGTTCGGGTCGGCATGGTGCTGTCAGACGCGCGCCTGAGTGTGCGTGAGTGTGTGGGGGTCTCTGTGTATACCTTTGTTGTATACCGCTGCACTACCGTGGGGAGCGGTAGTGCAGTAGTGAGCGGGGCTGCGCTACGAACCCGGCGATATGAGTTCGATTCGCGCTCACGGGCAACGCCAAGTGACGATTATCTGAACCGGTCCTGAGCTTCCCCTAGATCGACCCGGCCTCAAAATGAGTGCACGGTGCGGTGTGTAGAGACCGGGGAGACAAAGGCGATCGGGCTTGGTGCTACCCACCCACCCCCTCGTGTACCGCGCCGGCCTTCATATAATGGTATCTGTGTGAGGAGTAGTGGTGCAGTGGTTCGAGCGCTGCGCTACGATCTCGGCCACGTGGGTTCGATTCCTGGCCACGGTTAGCATCGAGTGACGGGTGATATCTGGACGGACGTTTGGCAAGCTCAGACTCCACGTGGTCCCGATTATCGCCTGCCGATTCGCGTGGTTGGCTTTCGTACGGCGCGAAATAGAAGTTCTCCACGCAATGCATCCCACGCGTCCCAGCCAGTTGTTCTTCAGTCGCCCGCAATTCCGTTTCGGTGTCGAGCACTTGGCTCGGCAATCCGAGCGCAATGATGCCGGGGGCAGATCAATGAAATCTCGTGGGCCCGCGTTCGTCAAATAAATAAGCTTTATTAACGCGAACGGCGTGAGACGCATCACTTCGTTTGGCTCAGATGAAACGTGCATGAGGCGCGTGCGTTAATAAGACGACTTGTAAACGTTGCGAATTCGCGTTAAAGGAAGGCACAAAACCCGCCAATGAACAGCTCTTATCTTGATGAACATTACACGTTAACGCGGTGGTCGAAATGGAGCGGTATATTACGGTATGCCACACCAGTACTTTTCAGAACACAAAGCACACACGAATCTTTGTATGTTGAACTTCTTTCGCACCGTACGTAGCCAACCGTGCTAAGCGGAAGGTGAGATGAGAGGGAAGAGGCAGGAGAGTGTGTGGAGGGGAGTGGAGTGTGATGAGAGGGGAGAGGTAGGAGAGTGCGTGGAGGGGAGTGGAGTGAGATGAGAGGGGAGAGGTAGTGGGGGGAAGGACAACAAACTAAATGCCGACACTTTTTAAGAATTGGTTCCTAATTCCTTATATAACTGCGATGCTTTTTGTTTTTGTTTTACAGAAGGATACACGGCAGCGAGTATTGACCACAGCACGAATGGGTTTTCAAAACCCGTCACGTCGACATATCAATGTTGACACCACCGTTGTACCACACGGTACTCAAAATAAAAAAAATAAAACCCAAAAAGCGACCACATTTCTTGGGAGGCTCAAACGAGACACACCGTGAGCTGGCAGCCCCTCCCTTTCCGCCAGCCACGCCCATTCTTCGAGTCAGTAACGCCCACTGCCACTCTAGCACCGCCCCCACAGAGAACGGCAGCCATGCTATTTCTCACGTGGTTAAGGCTGTATCTGCATTACTATTACTATGCCAGTTTTTTTAATTAGTATATTGTTTGAGAAACAGTGTGGTATTTGATGCTAATTTTTATTTAACAAAATTTTTCATTTAAAACTATATTTTTATATTGCGATTATGATTTGCTCGCAATTTTTTTCTTATTATCTGTTATTGTTTATGAATTGATTTAGTTTACTGCGAATTATTGCGTTTTTTGAAAAAGTGGTGTTGTTTTTGTTGGTGAAACCCGATTTAAGAGCTTATTGGCTCACAGGGTACTTCAAAATAAACTAAACCGAACTGCTTAGGAGGACCGACCCACACATCCTCTAATAATTTAATAATTAATTGATCCAGTCGGCTTATGCTGAAGGGGGAAATTATCATTTAATAGTGGTTAATTTACGTTGGTGCACATTTTTCGATTTCTCACGCGACGACTGTGGATTTTGTTTGCCAGGTAGAAAATGTTTCCCTCCAGCACCCCGATCAGTGCGGCTAAGATGCTTGCAGCGACGGATACGTCTCGTTGGCTGGCCCGTTGCGAAGTGCCAGATCGCCACGTGTTTGCCACGGACCGCCTCCGATCCGCGGGTCATGGATTCCTCCCCACCCCCCACCTCCCCGCCCCCACCCCTGATCTACAAGACAAGAGCTGTCTAAGTCACGTGGTCACAATTTGGTTGCGTCCATCTTTAATTGCTTCGTCGTGAATCGAGACGCCACGCGGATTCATTTATTTCGCATGCCAAAGTGTCGGACTCACAGTGACGAAACTTAAACCCTGATGTTCGACTACAGGCCTTCGTTATACAAGACGAAGACAAAGATCCCCCGTGTAGCCTTAACCAACTTTTGGGGCAAGTGTTGCTCGCGAGCACCTATGAAGGCCGGAACTGTGGCAGACGAAGAGGGGTGGGTGGCCAGCACCACGCCCGGCCGCCTTTGTCTCCCCAGTGGCGATGTTTACACACCGCACCAGATACTCATTTAATGAGGCTGAGTCGACATAGGGGAGGCCCAGGACCTGTTCGGATGTTCGTCACCGATGTTGGCCGTGAGCGTCAATAGAACTCGGGTCACCTGGGTTCGTAGCGCAATGCGCTAACCGTTGCACCTCTGCTCCCCGCGACCGCTTCATTGTACAACACAAGACAGTATACACACACACACATACTCCATATAGGCAACGTGTATTGCATCAAGAACCAACCAACGCTGGGGCTGTGGCAATGCATGGCATAGAGCAACTCGAGTGTCATTTAAACTGCCCACATTTTACACTCCGTCCATTCCAACTCGCTCGTGCGTCGTCGTCATCACAGAATTGAAGGTGATGCGATATCACGAATAATTTTAATTAAATATAATAAATAAACAGCCGCGAATAAACAAAAAAAATTACGTATTATTAGTCTGTTAGCCCGGAAGGCTTTACAATACAATGCAATAACAAAGTGAATGTACGGAGCTGCGTGTGAAGGGGATCGCGTTGCACAACATGGTCCAGATGTCTTGTGACTCCCATTTAATTCTCTAAAACGTAATCTTTTTTAAAGTAAGGTTTATTTAAAACAGAACTGAATACGCAAAGGGGGGGGGGGGGGAGTGAAATATTTAGGGGGTCAATCAATTGGGAGTCGCACAAAACACCTGGACCACCGTGGAGAGGCGCTGGACGTAGCAGGACAAAGCGTCTAGAGGTGGGCAAGGACATCGAGTAGCGAGGGCGTGGAGGGGAGTAGAGTGAGATGAGAGGGGAGAGGTAGGAGAGTGCGTGGAGGGGAGTAGAGTGAGATGAGAGGGGAGAGGTAGGAGAGTGCGTGGAGGGGAGTAGAGTGAGATGAGAGGGGATAGGTAGGAGAGTGCGTGGAGGGGAGTAGAGTGAGATGAGAGGGGAGAGGTAGGAGAGTGTGTGGAGGGGAGTAGAGTGAGATGAGAGGGGAGAGGTAGGAGAGTGCGTGGAGGGGAGTAGAGTGAGATGAGAGGGGAGAGGTAGGAGAGTGCGTGGAGGGGAGTAGAGTGAGATGAGAGGGGAGAGGTAGGAGAGTGCGTGGAGGGGAGTAGAGTGGGATGAGAGGGAAGAGGTAGGAGAGTGCGTGGAGGGGAGTAGAGTGAGATGAGAGGGGAGAGGTAGGAGAGTGCGTGGAGGGGAGTAGAGTGAGATGAGAGGGAAGAGGTAGGAGAGTGCGTGGAGGGGAGTAGAGTGAGATGAGAGGGGAGAGGTAGGAGAGTGCGTGGAGGGGAGTAGAGTGGGATGAGAGGGAAGAGGTAGGAGAGTGCGTGGAGGGGAGTAGAGTGAGATGAGAGGGGAGAGGTAGGAGAGTGCGTGGAGGGGAGTAGAGTGGGATGAGAGGGGATAGGTAGGAGAGTGCGTGGAGGGGAGTAGAGTGAGATGAGAGGGGAGAGGTAGGAGAGTGTGTGGAGGGGAGTAGAGTGAGATGAGAGGGGAGAGGTAGGAGAGTGCGTGGAGGGGAGTAGAGTGAGATGAGAGGGGAGAGGTAGGAGAGTGCGTGGAGGGGAGTAGAGTGAGATGAGAGGGGAGAGGTAGGAGAGTGCGTGGAGGGGAGTAGAGTGGGATGAGAGGGAAGAGGTAGGAGAGTGCGTGGAGGGGAGTAGAGTGAGATGAGAGGGGAGAGGTAGGAGAGTGCGTGGAGGGGAGTAGAGTGAGATGAGAGGGAAGAGGTAGGAGAGTGCGTGGAGGGGAGTAGAGTGAGATGAGAGGGGAGAGGTAGGAGAGTGCGTGGAGGGGAGTAGAGTGGGATGAGAGGGAAGAGGTAGGAGAGTGCGTGGAGGGGAGTAGAGTGAGATGAGAGGGGAGAGGTAGGAGAGTGCGTGGAGGGGAGTAGAGTGGGATGAGAGGGGAGAGGTAGAAGAGTGTGTGGAGGGGAGTGCAGTGAGATGAGAGGGGAGAGGCAGGAGAGTGCGTGGAGGGGAGTAGAGTGGGATGAGAGGGGAGAGGTAGGAGAGTGCATGGAGGGGAGTAGGGTGAGATGAGAGGGTAGAGGTAGGAGAGTGCGTGGAGGGGAGTAGTGAGATGAGAGGGGAGATATAGACAGGTGAGGATCTTGACTCGGGTGAGGACAATCACTGCAAATGATTGGATTGGGAGCGAGTGGAGGGATTGTCGAATAGCGGTGACGTGGCATTGACTGCAGGTGCAGGAGTCTGGCAGCGGCATTTTGCATCACGTGGAGTTCGGAGTTGAGGGATTCGGCGAGGCCGTGGAGGAGAACTGCCGAGGCTCGTGTTTCCTAGCAGTGTTTCCCTAACAGGCCGCAACCTGCTGATTAAACCCAGAACGGGCACACCGATCCACGATTATTAGCCTGCTTCAGAAGGCTCACGGGCTCACTGGCCTTAAACCTATTCATTCTCTTTTGTTACGTGTGGAGCTAGATGTGCGTGTGTTTATTTACTATTCAATCAACCGTAGTAGTAGATGTAATAATAACAGCAACAATATTTTAATACAACTATCGTGTCAATTGCAATAATAATGTTGAACTATACTGTACGAACGAGATAAATGTACAAGTGGAATCCTACAACTGCTGCTACCGTTATGCATGCACGTGCGTGGACCCATATCACTGCTGATTTGCATCGCAATCCATTTCTCAACCCACATAACAACGACAACAACAACCACCACCACCACCACACAGGCCTAACTTGTGGGTTCACACCTGGCGCTGCGCTCCCAGCCAGGGCTATTCAACACAACTGTGAAACTTTATTAATTAGATTAATTCGTGAATAGTAAGAGGGGGGTTTGGGTGGGCAGAAGAAAAAAACGAATTTAAGTTTGCATGTGGTCAGGCGCGCCATTATAGCACTTGCTGTGACGTCACAATGCAATTGTGTGAACGTCATTTCCGTTTGTACACATCACGTGAAAAAGCAAAAAAACACTGCGGTTGTACTGTACTTTTTATGCTTCCACGCATATACAAAGTGCGCACACGTGACTGCATCTCAAGACGCTGCACAATGTATACACACACAGTACACACACACAGTACACACACACAGTACACACACACAGTACACACACACACAGTACACACACACAGTACACACACACAGTACACACACACGTTTCCCTCGTTCTACGCGGTGGTCGTAGTTGAGTAGCGCACACCGTACACACACAGTACGCACACAGTACACACGCAGTACACACGCAGTACACACAGTACACACACAGTACACACAGTACACACGCAGTACATACCGTACACACAGTACACACGCAGTACATACTGTATACATGCGGTACATGCCACACACACGCAGTACATACCGTACACACACAGTACACACAGTACACACAGTAAACACACAGTACACACGCAGTACACACAGTACACACGCAGTATATACTGTATACACGCGGTACATGCCATACACACGCAGTACACACGCAGTACATACCGTACACACGCAGTACACACAGTACACACACAGTACACACGCAGTACACACGCATTACATGCCGTACACACGCAGTACATACCGTACACACGCAGTACACACGCAGTACACACAAAGTACGCGCACAATCTTGCCCCACGTTCCGGCCGCATAGCCGCATGAAATCAGCCCGCATAATGTAGCGAATTCATGGGGTAGAAATATGTTCGCCGCATCTTACGTGAAATCTCCACAAACCGAACCCGCACAGATCGAGGGAAGCCTGACTCAACGCAGCCCTTTGGTGGCACGCCTGTGTGACCGTGAGTTTGTTTTGTTCTATCTATCATTACCGAGGTTCCGCACGAGTATGAAACAGCCTGGAACCCACAATCTCGACGTATCTCTGCAGGATAAAGTATATGTTTTCGTGTGTGATACTGCATTGGCAGTGGTGCATAAGCATAAATAACTAAACCAAAAATTCAACATATTAATCAATTAAACTGTCTTTACTGGTGCGAGGGGGGGGGGGGTATATATTATATATTAAAGGGAAAAAACATGGATATACATAAACAACGTTTCGGACAATGGCCCTTCTTAATATCAGAGATGTCTCTGTGCTTTTCCTCTGTTGTGAAGAAGAGCCACTCGCCAAAGGCAGGAGGGGCAGTGTTGTTGACAAACGTGCTGAGCTCCAGACAAGAACCGTCTCCGTTTGGGGCCGCGCGGTCAAAATGAACCACTCATCCGACGGCTCGCCCCTCCCGTCTCTCAGACGCTCGACAGCTGCTCGACGAAGGGCACCGTCTGAAGTTCGGCGATGATTTTGATCTCCGAGCCCTCGTCCCGAGATCCTCCTTGGCACGGGCTCGAGCCGGCCTCGGGCCTCAGCGGCGAGTCGTCCCGGGCCTCTGACGCCTCCCGCAGACAGCCCGCGCCCTCGGTCGCCACCGCAGCCGCCGCCGCCATCATCTCGTGGAACCCGCTTGCCACTCCGCTCGTCGGCGAGGCCGCCTCACCGATGGCCAAAGTCGCCGCCGCCGTCGTCGAGGACAACGGAGGCGACGATGCGGTTGCCGATGACGATGACGGCGTTGGGTTCGCCGCCGCCGAAGACGATGCCGACGACGCTGTTGGCGGTGGCGTCGATGACGACGACAACGGCGGAGTCACCGGCGGAGCTGCAACGGCGAAGGGCGTGTAGCCGAAAAAGCCACCGCGCGTCTCATCCTCCACCCCCCTCGTGCCGTCTTCCACGATGCCCAGGTGGGCGCTGTCCAGCACTCCGTTGGGACTTGGGTACATTTTATCCGCCCCGTTGAAAGCCATGCTGTGGTGTTCCTCTTCCTGCTGCTGTTGATGATGATGATGCTGCTGCTGCAAACCCGACGGTCCTTTAAATATGACGCTGTGAGCTGCTCGCCCTATCTGCTGCTGGTGATGATGCTGATGATGCTGTTGCTGCTGTTGCTGCTGATGATGATGTTGTTGCTGATGATGCTGCTGCTGCTGATGGTGTTGATGATGCTGCTGCTGCATCCCCGAATAGCAATCCGTTGCGTCCAATCTCCCCGCCTGCATGTCGCCTACACTCGAGTGCACGTTGAGCCCACACAGAGCCGCCTCCATGCCGAGGCCACCCAGCGACAAGCCGCCGGCCCCGTGCGCCAGCAGGTAAGGGGACGCGGCGTGGATGCTCGCGTTGAAGAAGGCCTGCAGATGCGCGGGGTGCTGGTTCGACTCCTGGTAGCCGCCCGGAGGCACCGCCGCCCTCGCCGCCGGGTCGTGCGGGTGGCCGTGCGGGTGGCCGTGGGGCAGCCCCGCGGGGTAGTCGCTGCCCAGCGCCGTGGCGCAGGGCTGGCCCGGGAAGTCACGTGACGACGACGACGAGGGAGGGGTCCCGTCTCCGTCCGTCTCGGAGAAGGAGGAATCTTCGAGGTCCTCGGGGCTCTTGCGAGGTCCGTCGTCGGCCTGGTGGGAGCTGCCCGTGGGGTCTCTGTGTGCGTGGGGCGGGTGGAGGTGAGGGGTGAGAGGGTGGAGAGTTCACAATGAGTGAGAGCAATTACACAGCCCCTAACGTGGGGTAGCGCTTAGTGCACTCGACTCGCAATTCAGAGGTCACTGGTTCGACGCGAACTCCTGGTGCGGCAATTGAAGCAACGGGCACATATTAACCTCCCCCCCCCGCCCCCCCTGGTCGGCCTCGGTCCACCCAGCAGTACACATGGGCACACTACACTTAGTCGATCAGCAGTTCCGTGTGTGGTGGGGTGAGGTGTGGGTACTCCCATCTCTTTTACCTGCCCCCCACCTCCACAAAGTGTTGAGCGAGGGGCGCAATGGACAGGGACCTGTTCAGGTGTCAGTCACCACTGGCCTTAAGCGTGGTGGTCACGAATATACTTCAGGTCGTCGGGGTCATTGGCATGAAAGATAATTATTTTAGCAGCTAAGGCCCACTGAGCTACGTAGCTATTTTTCAGAAGCGACCTGGCCACAAACAACAGCTCAGCGAAGCGGCTCATCACGTGGACATGTATAGCAGCCAAATGCTATGAACGTACGTTTATAAATGTCAAGGGAAACACCGAAGGATCCGGAGAAAAATCCACGCAACTACGGGGAGAGAGACACCGCAAACTCCAAATATACACGTGTCAGGGTCGGGATCGAACCGTCGACCTCCTGTATACCAGGCGAGGTAGTTAACATCTCCTAGCCACCGTGGCGCTGCACCACCGCTCCTCCAGTAGCATCGACAGTGTACGTGCATCAAATCAATCATTTACCCACAACAGTCGGATTGAGTCGCAAGCCTCATCAGGAGGGTGCTGCTACCATAGAGATTTTTGGCCAATTCCATTAATTAATATATCGTTTGGCTGACGAACGCCCTCCTGCCCATAGTTGTCTACCCACGTACTGTCTTCCAGAGGTGCATCTTACCAGCAGCACGAGTTCAACGCAAGCAAACTGTGGACCGGTGTCGACACCCATTGTCTCATCAGCAGGGTCAGGTTTGATTGGCCGATGGTTTGCGTAAAATCGGCTTCCACATATATATTGTGTGTTACGTCTTAGAGACAAGTATGGTAATGAGATAACAATGATCGTGGTATTGAAACTCCGCACAACGACGCTTGATGATTATTTTCTAATTAAAAAAAAAATCTAGATTTTCACACACGTGATTAAATGCACACATCGGCAAACTTGGGAGCTGATACACCGGATGGATCGATCCTTCGTCACAACCCCTTACCTAGCCCAGTGCTCGATTTAGACAGCACTGCTCTCGACCACAAACACGTGCTCATTTTAGACCGAGTCGACCTATGCGAGTATGTAGGGGGGGTGGGGGGTGGGGGGGTGTCCAAGGCATCCCAAGGCAGGTCGCCAACTCGCCAACAACGACTGCCATAAAGATTCCACGCGCTACTCGCCCCCGCTGCCCCCACCGAACTCGGAGCGCCAAACAAAACAAAAAACTAAAAAACAGGGGGCAGAACATTGGGCGGCATGCGGGCCGCCGGCAATTGGTGGCAGGCGGAAGAGTGTTTCCTCTGACGCCTGACGTCACTCCGCGTCGCACAACTTTTTTCATTCACTCGGGCGCTGAGCCTTTTCCCTATACTTTGCACACTCCTATCGGATTTATTTTTGTGTTATTATTCATTGTTGTTGTTGTTGTAACTTTCTAACCGGCCACATACCGGAGATTTGCGCAAAAGAGCTTGAGGCTTCATCTGATTCCTCCAGGATTGATCAAGATTATGATTAATCAAGATGCTGATGGTGATTCCGAGCAGCTGTTTGAATTATAGCGCGCACGATCTCACGGCGTCCGTTCGCGGTCCGCGTGAACATTTTCATTTAGAACCGGTGCCCAGGAGTTTGTTCTCTATGCCGTGTATCAAAATAATCACCGTAGTGTTCTTCCCGAAGAGACATGTTGATAGTCTAAGCCCGATCACCAATAACTACACACAAAAGAAACCCCATCAGATAAAACAATTTTCAGCACTTGTTTTTTTGCGCTACACTCTATAGCTTTGAGAATTTAAAAAAACGAGGGAATCTCAGAGGCAGTTCTGTGATATCCGCTTCCGTGCGCCGGTCACCAACACGACTCGTGACATCACGGCCGACAGCACAATCGGGATACCATTCGGGCACAAGTACAAACACAATTAATAGTAGTTAAATAAAAAGTTGAACGCGAGCGGTGATGATGGGAGGGGGTTTGGAGAGAGGTAATTCTTGGAGCTTCCGATCTTACGGGGATTAGGTTGAACACCCATTCCCATGCACGTGCGAAAGAGACGTGGGGACTCTCTGACGACTTATTAAAGTCATTGTGACGTGTGACAAATACCCGATTTTTTTTTTTACAAAAAAATATATTATTCTCAGACCCTTTATCAATCCAGTGCTGAATGAAGGCTTTCCCACATCCTGTGCCGCTCATGGGGGTTTGTTTGACCATACTTCACCACGCTGGTTATTGCGGGTTGGTGAAAGGCGGTTGATTGCCCAGGACCGCTTCAGACAGCGCTCGCCACTGACGTTAGCTGTAACCGCGCGTTATGAATCGTGTCACCAGGTTCAGATAACAGTGCGCTAACCACTATGCCACCGCTCCTCGGCCCGGCTATTTTTCTGGGAAAGCCGCTCATCATGCGCCGTGCCAGCCTAAGACCAGGTGCTCGCTCGCAGCACTTGCCCCCATCGATGTATACGTCTACACGGGTGACCTTTGCTTCTTGTGCGCACCACGTGATCTGCCATCTGACCTACAGCCCGGTTTGTTGCTGCTGCTGCTGTTGTTGTTGTTACTCGCGTGAACGTAAACAAAAGCTGCAGCGTATACAAGAACCGTGCCACCACAGCAGGGCCACGTGTCAATCCACTGCTGGATGAGGTCTCTCTCCTCCCCGTGCCGTGGCACCCCCCGTGTCAAGTCGTCGACCGTACTTCGTCGCGTTCGTCAATGCACGGTTGGGTTGGTGAAGGCTAGGGGAGCATAGAAGTGCAGATGCACCAATGTGCTGCCCTCTGCTGACCGCCTATGACGACCCTGGCATGTGTATCCGGTAGCACCCCCTCCAAGTTATAGCCAGGCTCAAAGAAAACGCTGCTGAGCTTCCAAAGAAGTCACACGGTTACTTGGTCATAGGAATCAACATAATCGTCGTCGTCGTCGTCGTCGTCGTCGAAATCATCACCACGAGCGATATCAGTTAAAAGGGCTCGTGACCTGCTGATGAGAGCCATTGTAGTCGAAACCGGGCGCAGGGAGTTCGCTGCGCGACGTTTGACGACGCTGATGAACCGAGCCTGGGGCCAAATGACCTCGATCTTATTTCAGTCATTCAACATATAATCTTTTTTCAGTTATTAAACAAACGCGTGCAGTGCCTGCTTATTTACGCGCGCCCATAATTCGCCAGAAGAGAGCGTGTGGTGGGGGGGGGTTATAATTACGACGTGACAAGAGGCTGCTGGTTGCGTGGATGCAAATAATATGTTTGCGAACATAAGCGAGCGAGCGAGAGAGAGAATGCGCGTGCGTGTGTCTGTCTCCGAGCGTGTTAGATCGTGTGTTTGTCAATTGAGCTTCAATCCATTGCCAATCGTTCACTGTTGAATGTTCGTGTGTCCGCCTGTCTGTCTGTGTGTATGTCTGTCATTCTATCAGTATGTCTTCATTTGAGTGTATCGATGCATTAGTATATCGGACCGTCTGCCCATCAGTACGTTTGCATGTAAATAGCTATACCTGTCTTTATTCATGTCAATCTACCACTGTTTCGTCAGCCTATCAGTATGTGTGTCTGTGTGTCCGTGTCTATGTGGATGTCATTATAACTATATATACATATCCGTCGATAGAACGTCTGCTCGTCTGTGTCAGTATATCTGCCCCTCGTTGTAGCCATCCTTTTATCTTAGCAATCAGTGGGGCAGTACGTTCGTGACCATTTGTCGCTCGTCTGTTGAACCTCTCAGCAGGTGTCACAGCATGTCCGACTGTCCATCACGCAGTCTGGCTCCCCCGATCAAGTCAATCGATCTGTCTTTCAGTCCACGTATCGAACCATCCCGTCTGGTGTTATTTGTGTGTGTATGTGTGTTTTTAATATCCCAGTCCGTTTTGTGAGTCCGTCCGTCCGTGCGTGCGTCCGTGCGTCCGTCCATCCATCCGCCAGTTCGCGTCACGGTGCATTCACCCCTTCGCCGGAGCGCCTCTCTCCCTCTGCCTGCGGTTCTTGAACCAGTTGCTGACTTGCGTGAGAGACAATCCCGTGAGCCGGGACAGCTCCCTCTTCTCGGCCGGGCCCGGGTAACGGTTCCTCTCGTAGCACTCCTTGAGCACCTGCCTGGACCTCTCCTTGAAGCAGTACACCGTCTCCTCGCCGTCCCAGATCGTTCGCGGCAGCGGGAATTTCCGACGGAGCCGATACTTCTCGACCGCTCCGAGGGGCCTGCCGCGCGCCCTCGCCGCCTCCGAGTAGCGCGCGCGGTACCACAGCTGCTGCAGCGCGGCGTGGCACTGCGGCGCGAAGCCGTGCGACTCGAGGATGGCGTAGAGCTCGGCGTAGCGGCCCTGCTGGAAGGCCACCAGGGCTCGCGCCTTCATGACGCTGTCGCTGCGGCTCAGCTGCTCGCACGAGGGAGGGAGGGCGGTGAGGAAGCGCGCCAGGCGCTCCGTGTCGCCGCTCTGCTGGAGCGCCTCGCAGACGCACGCCACTTGCTCGGGAGTGAAGAGCGGCGCGGGAGCTACGGACGACGCCGACGACGGATGGCTCCCGCCGCCGAGCGCGGAGGCGGCCTCGCTCAAACACGACGCGCCCAGACCGATGCCTGCCGCGCCGAGCGCCAGACCCTCCCAGGTGCGGAGGCCGTCGCTCATCGAGGTCAGCGGCTGCAGGTTGGCGAGCCCGAGCAGCGGCGAGACGCCGTCCATCGCGTCCGCGTCGTGCTGCGCGCTCGAGTCGGGAGGCTGCACGGAGCGCGTGGCTGCGTACTCGACGGACACGGAAGCCATCGTGGGGGGCGGGCGGGCGGGGGGGCGATGAGTCAGTGGCTCTGAAGTTTATTCACGGACGGTGTTTTCCTCCTACACGTACCAGAGCCAGCCCCCCCCCCAACCCCGATCGATCTTCTGATGAAAGTTTTCTCTCGCTCTGTGGCGTCTCTCGCTGTCGGTGCTGGGTGCTCGATGACAGACACTGTCCCCCAGCAGCAGCAGCAGCCTGTTGTGGGCTACACGGGGGGGGGGGGCTGTCTGGGTATCTCTCGTTCGTGTTGTCTCGGGCACCCTTGCTCGATCCACTGCTGCTCGCTTCAGCCGCGCTCGGGGATCATCGCGCGAGAAACCCTGCAAAGAAACACAAAACCAGCGCCACCTGTTTGCCTCTCTCGGGCGGCACACAAAGTGACATGTTGTTCTGAGTGTGCGTGACTGTTTATATATATACACACACATAGAGACAAAGATCCCCCGATAGCCTTAATAGACTGTTGGGGCAAGTGCTGTTTGCGAGCGCCTATGAAAAGCAGCCACGATACACGAGGGGGTGGGTAGCCAGCACCACGCCTGACCGCCTTTGTCTCCACCAGTGGCGATGTTCACACACCGCAACAGGTACTTATTTGAGGCTGAGTCGACCTAGGTGAGGCCCGGGAGCGGTTCAGATAATTGTCACCGGTGTTGACAGTGAGCGGGAATCGAACTCGGGTGACCGGGTTCGTAGCGCAGCGCAGCGCTGACCGCTACACTACCGTTCCCCGTATACTGTACACGCACACACGTGGGTGGAGCGGTGGCGCAGTGGTTAGCGCAACTCCGCCACTGCCAACTTCCGTGGTCGAGTGATGTTTGTACCAGTCCATCGAAAGACCAACTCGGCACTGACATTAATACCCGGAGCGATGCGCGTGTGAAACATCGTCACTTGGAAAGACAAGGGCGGCCGGGCGTGGTGCTGGCCACCCACCCCCTCGTGTGCCTTGGTTGCTTCCCATAGGCGCTCTCCAACAGCGCTTGCCCCTAAAGTCGGTTAAGTCTCTACGGGGGACCTTTGTCTTTGTACGTGTGTGCATGATCCCTGCCGGCACTTGTCCCGACAGTTTGTCGACGGACATTCTAGTGAGTCCGAGTCTCCGTGAACGCGTTCGCGTGTGCGTCTGCGCGCCCGTCACTGCGTGTGCGTGCGCACTGCACTACGAACCCCGGCAATGAATGGGGTGGGATAGAGAAGGGGGCGGGGTGGTGATGGGGGGGGGGGTGTGATGGGGGGGAGATTCCCACTCACGGATAACAATCAGTGGCAATTGATGATGGCCGAACCGGTTCTAGGCATCCGCCCTGAGATCGAATCAGCTTCAAATCAGTCCCTGCAGCGCTGAGTAAACGCCTACACCGGGTAGATCAGAATGTCGCCGGCGTAGTGCGACCTTAATAGGTGCTCGCCAACAACTACAACAACAACAACACTTTACGCGTCACTCTGTAAGGCTATTCGAGAGATCGCTTTGCCGTGTGAGTCACTGTCTTTGTGTGACGTATGAGTGAGTCTTGTCACTGCGTGCCAACGCGTCTGTTGCGCACGTGGTGAGATCGCTTTGCGCTACGAACTCGGCTGTCCGCGTTCGATTCCCGATCACGGCCAACTCCAGCGACGATTTATCTGAACCGGTCCTGGGCCTTCCCTAGGTCGACTCAGACTCAAACGAGTACCTGGTGCGGTGTGTAAAAAAAAAACATCGCCACTCGGGAGACAAAGGCGGCCGGGCGGTGTGCTGACTATCCACTCCCTCGTGTGCCGTTCCGGCCTCCATAGGTACCTCGTGCACGGCACTTGCCCCAATAGTCTCTTAAAGGCTATACGGGGGATCTTTATCTGTATGATATTTACGTACGTGTCTATCCGTGCGTGCGTATATGCGGTATGTCTTCTTGTGAATATGTGATTATATGTGTGTGTGTGCGCGTACGCGTCTCTTGTACATCATATATCTGTGCGTGTTTGAGCGTGTCTGTGCGTGGAGGTGTATGTGTGTGTGTGTGTTGCACGTCCGTCTGCGTGACAAATGTACGAGAGTATTTTCACTCGGACGTTTGTCCCAGCGAAAACTCACCACCCCCTCCACCCATTGCAGCTGTTTGGACTTAGGCGATATTCAAAGAGGCGGCGTATACTTTGAGAGGGAGTTTTTGCACCCTGTGTGCCTTTGCGAGTGTGTGGCTGTGGCCAAGTGAGCTGAAGACGAGACCTCTCAATATACTCCACAATGTTACCTGCCGTGTGCGCACAGGTAACACACTCGCACAAAGAGAAACATCCTCCCGTGTGGCCTCAGCAGAACTGTTGCGCACAGTGTCTCTTGGCGAACAGCACCGATGAAGGCCGGCACTGTGGATCACAAGGGGGCGTTTGGTGTGTGGCCAGCACCACACCCGGCCGCCTTTGTCTCCCCAGTGGCGATGTTTACCCACCGCACCAGATACTCATTTGAGGCCGAATCGACCTAGGGGAGGCCCCGGACACGTTCGGATAACCGACACCGGAATTGGACGTCAGCGAGAATTTTACTCGGGTCACCGGGTTAGTAGCGCAGCGCGTTAACCACTGCGCCACCGCTCCCCAGACGCATATATATACATGCCCGTGCCTGTGTGTGTAGGAGTAAATAAATCAATAGCGGCGGTGTAGTGCTCAGCGCGCTGAGCTAGGTTCGATTCCGACTTACGGCCAACGTTAGTGGTGGAATATGCGGACCGTCCACGGGCCTTCCCTAGGTTGACTCAGCCTTAAATTAGTCCCCGGTGCGGTGTGTGAAACATCGGCAGTGGGGAGACAAAGAGAGACGGGCGTGGTAGTGACCATCCCGACCCCTCGTGTGCCGTGCCGGCCTTCGTAGGTGCCACTCACTAACGGCACTTGCCCCAACAGTCTCTTCAGGTTATACGGGGGACATTTGTCTTTTGTGTATATGTGTGTTCGTGTTATTGCACATGAATGAATTGGTCTGTATATGTACGATTATACGAATGAGTGTATATTAAACATGAGTATGTGTACTGTATATACCGCGCGTGTTAGAGAGTGCGTATTTGGAGATAAATGTGTGGATACATTTGTACCGCGACCCTAGTGCATCCCATAAATATTGCGTCTCAAGCTTTTCGTGATTAAATTTCATCGCATTCATTTCCAAAGAAACTGGGAGGAGATTTTTTAAAACACGTTTCGTGCTGAACGTCAAAGCGACGTTGCAAACGAGCCGTCACCCTCCCGGAGTGGCACACAAGCCACTCAGAGTCGCAGCTTCGAGTCCGTGACACCATTGCCAAGAGGCAAGGCTGTTTACCATTAGCATCTGTTTAGGGTGTAAAGGACAAAAAAAATAAACCTCCTACATAAAAAAGAAACTAAACTTTCCAGCGAATCAATTAAAATATGAGTACCGAATATGATTTTGATAAAATGTATAAGTGCGTAATTTGGATTAATATATATAAAATAATGTTTACTGGCATCGGATATATCTTAAACAAAATAAATAATAATAACGCACTCTAGATTTGTTTGTAGGGAATTAGATAATTGGCTTCGGACTTAAGATATATCTTATAAACGTAAGTAAGGCATGTGACCTCAAATAATTATCATACACATTAATAATAATTTATTATACTGGGACCAATGCAGAGATGAATCATTTTGCCAATCCACTGCTGAATGGATGCCTCCCCACCGAATGTCATTCATTTGGATTGTCTGACCATGCTTCACCGCGCTGGTCACTGTCGGTTGGTTAACGACGTGCTTGGGATTGGGGTGCAGAACTGGTTCAAGATATCAGTCACCCGTGATGCTAGCCATGACTGGGAATAGAACTTAGATTCGCCGAGTTCAGGGGACAATGCGTGTATGTGTGTGTGTGAGTTCGATTGCTGCTCACGGTCAACACCAGTGAAGATTATCTGAACCGGTCTTGGACATCCCCTAGGTCGACTCAGCCTCAAATTAGTACCTGGTACGGTGAGCAAAAACAAGGCCACTGGGGAGACAAAGGGGGCCGGGCGTGGTGCTGGCCACCCACCCTCTCGCGTGCCGTTTCGGCCTTCATAGGTGCTACTCGCTAACAGCACTTGCCCCAACAGTCTGTTAAGGCTATACGGGGGATCTTTGTATTTATATATATACTGTATAGCAAAAGTCGTTCTACATACAGTACATATAAACCAACATTTAAGCTGGTATTAAGTCTTGTTTTCCGTCGCTTGCAGAGGAGTCTGTAATGCATTTAATTTAAACACTACTTTTAAAACCATTTGTTTTAATCAATAATGCCTAAACAGGCAGACCAACAGTTTACAGTTCACATGAATAATTACCTCTAATATCTATGTAACGTTACATATGCAGTGATAGTATATACATATACAGCTGTTGTGTGCATGTAACAGAATGGTGGGAAAGCGGTGGCACGCACACTTAAGCCATATATGGACCCTGCCACCTAATGAGTTTGATTCCAGGCGACGGCGAACATCAGCGGTGAGTGATATGCGAACCCCTGCTGAACACCTCCACCCATCAGCAACTCGCACTGACCCAGCGTGGTGGTGGTGGTGGTGTAGTGTTGGTCATCCCCCCTCCCTCCCCCTCCTCCGAACGCCATGACCGATGACCACGTGCTCAACAACGCGTGCACCTTTGTCAGTTGCTTTATAGGTCTGCGGACGTCACAATGATAATGATTGTGACGTCAAAACGTGAGTGAACTGCATGTAAGGGCATGACTAATGGATCACCATTAATGTAACAATTACTCACCACTGATATAACAATTGGTGTGTTTGAGGATGTTTTATTTATATATTATCTAAGGTTTTAAAACAACATTCTGATCAAATAATTACATTAATAGGCGCACAAATTAAATCGTTGTCAGTGTTCTGGATTCGTTATTTCTCACTCTTCGGTGTCGCTATATATCATCATTATTATTACTACTACATTATTATCATAGCATTATTTTTTTAACGTCTTCCGAACGTATTCTCACGCCGTTTCAACTCCTCAACTCAACGTTTATTTGTTACGCGGGGAAGCTCGTGCAGCCAGTAACCCGGCGAGTTTTGTTGGCGACGCAGCAGCCACTCACAGCCATGCAGTCGGTCAGGAAACTCGAGGCATCGATTATTTGTAATAATAGTTTCTGATCAGTATTATGGGACGTTTTTTTGTTGTTGCCAGTAGCAAAGTATGAAAACTACTAATAGGTTTTCTACCCATTTGGCAATAAAGGAATCGAGTCTGAATTGACCAAACGGTACTTGTGGTGAACGTGAAAACATGCTCTGGTAACACATGCATTGTGTTTGAAACTGAATAACCTACAACAGAGAAAGACATCTTCCTAATTCCTTGCAAAAGGGGGATATCTATTTGTTGTTTGAACATCTTAACATAACTGTTTTATTGCCAGGAAGGGTAAAAGTTATTCTTATTTTTCATAGTATGATTAAGTCTTAGGCAAAATATGTTTATTTTTAAGCCCTATAACAGAAAAGCAAAGCCATGAGAAGACCTTCCCATTGAATTCAGGATATATTTACGCGATCTAACAAAAAATAACCCTCTATTATGGATGATATTGGTCGCGAGAGCCTACGTGTTAAACTGAATTCAGAATGCCAATCTCTCTGCGAAAACGATTGATCCGTGTCGCTATTACTTATTTATACTACTTTTCTTTTAATTTCATTATGAAATGTACAATTATAGGTACGTATGTAATTTTAAAAATCCTATTAAATTCTTAGCAGCAATTGTCTATGTTCAGAATTTAAAAACTCTAAACTTTTGATGATAACACTGAAAGAGGTGGTTCAGCTAAAGAGAGAGCGGCTCACAATCTGGAAGGTTGTGAGTTCAACTCCTGGTTGGGAGAAAGAGCATTGACTCAGCCTATCATCCCTGCACAGGGTGGTTAAAATAAGTACCACTTCTTGGGGAAAATTCAACAGTGGTTGAACTATCTATAATCTGGCCCGAGCCATAGAAACGTGTAATTTCCACCACCACTGTGCCTAGGGTTCTAAACAGGAGATGAGCACAACATGAATGCTCATTTAATCAGGAAATCACTTATCATACGTAATGAGACAACGTTTCGAGCTAGGGTCCTTCTGAGTGAAGATGTGTTTTGCGATGTGTGTTTGTGCATCGCATTAAACGCAATATCACCACGATGTTTTTTCTTATCTTCTGGTAAATCCCGGTCTTGGGCCATCCTTTGAGTTATTGCCCCCGAAAATGTATAATGGGTACTTTATTGGGTGGTAAAATCTACCAATTCGTTTCTTATAGAACGCTATCAGTAGATTGCAAGTGTCTATGATAGCAAAGTCATCATTTTAGCTTTATAGGGGGCCGCAAATGAAAATAGGAGCCGGTGTCTATAAAACAGACTATAAATACGATCAAATTTCTGCCTCTCATGGCACATACCGCTCGCGGTAGACACTGGCCACGGTGGACAGGGCTAATGCATGTACGTGTGTTGAACTATGTATGTTGACTGTACGTTGAACTTCTAGCCGGAGGTGCGTAGCCAACCATGCTAATGGAGCACACTGCCCACGCTGGCGAATGCTGTCCACCACGGCCGAACGCGGGCCGTGTTTGGACGTTGGTAGCATTTTAGGCGGCCCCGATCTGGTACCGACCCAACCACCCCCCCCCTCCATCGCCACCCAGCTCACGCAATGACCGCTCTGGTCCACAGCTACCGTTGCTGTAAAACTCTACAATAGTTTCGTGGCCGTTCTGGCAACCTTCAAAAGGCAGTAGCGGGTGACCAACTCCGACGTCTGAACGCGGCTGTCGCTCGGCTGTTGTTGTTGTTGTTTTCTCGCGGCAAAAAAAAAACTCGCCCCGTCTTCCCCGTCACTCGCGCGGACACCATGGGCCCCGACTTTAACCGCGATGGTTTTTTTCGTTTGGACGCAGACCAAAAGGGTCACGAAGATTCACGAGCGGCAACAACAACAGAAACACACACACACCCCTGGATCATCTCCGGCGAGCGCAAGTTGCAACACGCGTGCCTCCGGATTCCATCGTCATCATTATTACAAACATTCAAACGCTACCTGTGCACGTGTACATATATACCTATGCGAGTACGTGTGGCTTAGTGGGTCTGGAGTGTAAGTGGAGGGAGCGGTGGTGTCGCGGTTTTGCGCGATGCGCTTCAATCTCGGCAACCCCAATTCGATTCCCGCTCTCGGTAGAGATGATTTGAACCGGTCCTGGGCCTCCCCTATGTCGTCTCAGCCTCAAACGAGTACCTGGTGCGGCGTGGTGCTGACCACCCACCCCCTCGTGCGCCGTTCCGGCCTTCATAGGTTCTACCCGATAACAGCACTTGCCCCAACAGTCTGTTAAGGCTATACGGGGGATCTTTGTCTTTGTAGCGTAAGTCGTTCGCCCACTGCGTTATGAACCCAGCGTCACAAATTCGAATCCCCGCTCGCGATTGATAACGATCAACATCTGAACCGGTCCTGGGCCTCCCCTATGTCGTCTCAGCGTTAAATTCGTTATCTGATGCGGTGTGCAAACATCAGCAGTGTTGAGACAAAGAAAGACGGGCTTAGTGCTGGCCACATCACCTCCTCGTGCACTGACGCCCTGACAGTCTGTTCGGGGATACACGGGGGATCTTTGTCTTTGTGCGTAGGCAGAATCCATCAATTATTGTACAACACTTCTACGCCCCCCTCCCCCCTTCTCCTTCACAAACAAGTATGAGTGAAGTATGGTCTTCAAAAGAAAAGACCTACACGACCCGCACGGCTTGGGGAGCGGTGGTGCAGCGGTTCGCGCTCCGCTGCGCTACGAAGCCGGCGACCCGAGTTCGATTCCCGCTCGCGGCCAACACCGAGTGACGAGTATCTGCTAAAATTAGTATCGTGCCCGGTGCGGGCTGTGAACATCGCCACTGGAGGGAGACGAAGGCGGCCGGGCGTGTTTCTGGCTAACCCACCCCATCGTGCGGCTGTCCGCGAGAAGGCGTTCGGGCCTTCTCGCGGACAGCACTTGACCCCCAACAGTCTGTCGAAGGCTACACGGGGCAACCTTTGTCGTTGCGTGTGAGAGCAGTTAACTGTTTGTCAATCAATCCGCGTGGCTGATGTACGTATTGATTGTTTGGTCTTTTGAGGGGTATGGAGTGTGGGGTGTGTTGGTGGTGGTGATGGGGGTTTGCAGGCAGTGTTCGTAGCCGTGAGCGCACGGACGCAACTCACCCGTTCGGTCGCCTCGCGCGTCGCATCAGTCGCTCATGGCTCGCGCGCCTCCTCGACTCCCGCGGGCAACGGCCCAAGAGCAGCGACTCCCTCTCGTCTTCTGTGTGCGGGCGCGTGTGAGCGAGCGAGCCAGTGCGTGTGAGTGTGTGCGTGCGTGCGTCTGAGCGAGCGAGCGAGTGCGTGTGAGTGTACGCGCGTGTGAATGAACGGTGCGCGCTGTCTGAGTGAGCGAGTGTGTGCGCGCGCGCGCGCGTGTGTTCTCGCGTGCGAGTGTATATGAAAAAAAACACGTTGTATGTATACATATATATCTAACAAAACATTGCACGAGAAGACACGGCTGGCCTGTAAATGAGTGCCCTCGGGGGCTAATGAACAGGACGACTTAGATGCCCCGCCTCTAAGAGAGAGGGGAGGGAGAGGGAGCGAGAGAGAGAGAGAGGGAGCGAGAGAGCTTTCGCGTGGCGTCAAAGCCTCTAACTGCACGCAATTGATGTCGCGTATGAAGAATGGGGGGGGGGGGTATAGAGTTTTTCCCTCCCTGGCTCGCTCACTCACTCAACCCCCCCTCTCACTCCTTCCCCCCCCAGCCACCCGCCAGTCTGCCTCGCTCCTACGCGCTCTGAGAGTAGGCTCAGAGATCACCACACCCCACCTGTTGCGTCTTTTAAATGGTCGGCGGCGGTGGTGTTTGCTCAGATGCGAAGTATAACGAGTGAGTGTATGGCCCTCAGTTGTTGTTATAGCCGTAAAATGTGTGTGTGTGTGTATGTACCGCGCCGGCCTTCATGGGTGCGCGCTAATAGCACTTGCCCCAACAGTCTGTTGGGGCTATACGGGGGATCTTAGTCATTGTTTGTATGTATGTGCCATGCCGGCATTCATGGCTGCGCGCTAACAGCTCTTGCCCCAACAGTCTGTTGGGTCTATACGGGGGATCATTGTCTTTGTTGAGTGTATGTGTTCGTCTATTCTTCTCCTTCCTGCTCTATCATCACCGACCTCCTCTTGCTCCCTCCTGCTCCTCCTCCTCGTCCTCCTCCCTCCTGCTCGCCGGCTCGTGTCAGCAGCTCTGCGCGTTCGCTCGTGGGCGCGCGAACAGAGATCGCGTGACCGCGCGTGTGCAGTGTGAGGGCGCAGTGTGAGTGCGCAGTGTGCAGTGTGCAGTGTGAGTGTGCAGTGTGAGTGCGCAGTGTGCAGTGTGCAGCGTGAGTGTGCAGTGTGAGTGTGCAGTGTGAGTGTGCAGTGTGCCGCGTGAGTGTGCAGCGTGAGTGCGCAGTGTGAGTGTGCAGTGTGAGTGTGCAGTGTGCCGCGTGAGTGTGCAGCGTGAGTGTGCAGTGTGAGTGTGAGTGTGCAGTGTGCCGCGTGAGTGTGCAGCGTGAGTGTGCAGTGTGAGTGCGCAGTGTGAGTGCGCAGTGTGCAGTGTGCAGCGTGAGTGTGCAGTGTGAGTGTGCAGTGTGAGTGTGCAGTGTGCAGCGTGAGTGTGCAGTGTGAGTGCGCAGTGTGAGTGCGCAGTGTGCAGTGTGCAGCGTGAGTGTGCAGCGTGAGTGTGCAGTGTGAGTGTGCAGTGTGCCGCGTGAGTGTGCAGCGTGAGTGTGCCGCGTGCAGCGTGCAGTGTGCAGTGTGCCGCGTGAGTGTGCGTACCCAAAAAAGAATAATGGGCAGCGTAACAACACCAACTGCCGCCAACAGCGACCACCATCAAATCCAGGCAGAGGAATATGACACAAAGCTGTCATCGTCGTGAGCAAAACCACTTCCACCATCCAACATAGCAACTCCAACAACAACAACCGCCATTCGCCACTAAGTGGCGGTGACGTCACCACGACGCTTGTGCCAGGCTATGTGCACCTTGAGGCCACGTGAAGTGTCGAACGCCCGCTGGCAGGAGGTCACGGGGCAGACCCAGGTGCCACAGGTCGACTGACTGAGACGCCTGAGATTACTGGCTGATGCACCACCTGTGCCCCCTACTGTGCCAACTTGCTGTGCTTTAGCCACCCGGCGCTCTGCTCGTGGTTGTGAGCGTCGCTCCTCCGCCCTCTGTTGTTGTTGGAGGGCGACTGCCTCCAACTGCCCAGTAGCGTCCTTCTCGAGCCTCCTCCACAGAGGCCGATCTTGACACCGCTCGTACCAGTCATCAGCAAGTCTACTCAGCTCCACTCCATCTCTTCTCTAGCCCGTGCCGCGCCCGTTTCGCCCCTTCGATCCGGCCGAACAAAAGCTGTTTAGGCATGCGGTGGCTGGGCATGCGGGCTACATGGCCCAGCCAACGCAGCCTTGCCTGCCGTAGGAGCTCACCGATGGGACTTTGTCCAGATCTTTCAAGGGTATGTAAGCTCCTCATACAATCCAGCCTGGTTAAACCCAGGATGGATCGTAGGCAGGCCAGCCTAAATATTTCTAACCGGCGAAGATGTTCCATTAGGGGGTCCACGTTTCGCAAGCGTAGAGAAGGGAGGGAATGACTGTGGTCGAGAAGACCTCAAGCTTCGTCCGGAGCGAGAGACCAGGTAGCTTACACACATCGTTACACAACCAATGAAAAGATAATGCCTTTCGACTGATTCGGAGTGAGACCTCTGCTGTTAAACCAGAGCCGGTCATGAGCACACTGCCCAGGTATGGGAAACTCTCCACTCTATGCACAACTGCCCCATCACCAATTGGAAGTTGTGTCCGATGGTACAAAATACCCAGGCAGGTGCTTAGTTTTGGTGGGGCTGATGGTAAGGCCCCACGTCTTAGTGTCAAGCTCCAGGTTCAGCAGCAGCGCCTCCAACTCCTCCTCTGAGTGAGCAGAAATAACCAGATCATCGGCATACAACATGGTTGAGCAATAAGTAGCCATCCATTGACCGCACCTGGGCATCGATCAGCCTCCCATTGTATCTATACCAGATGGAAATTCCTCCGGCACAGCTATTGGTCAAAATAGATGTTAAATAATGTGGGAGCAAGAGGACATCCCTGTCGCACCCTAAGGTGTACAGGGAATGGCTCTGACTCCCGGCCACGTTGTTTTACCCGGGCTCGCTCACCATCATGAAGGTCCTTAATGATCGTGAGCAGAGGGTCAGGGACTCCGAAAGTACGAAGAACAACCCAGAGCCCAGGCCTACTGATGGTATCATCGGCCTTGACCAGGTCAATAAAGCAAAGATGTAGGAGTTGTTGGTATTCCCTACACCTATGCTGTAGCAGACGGACATAAAATATGGCATCTGTGCAGGACCGCCCTTTCCTGAAACCAAATTTGGGCTCCGCAAGCCTCTCCTCAGCGTGCCTAGCAAGGTGATGTTGAATAATCCTTGCCAAGACCTTTCCCGGCACACTGAGGAGTGAGATGCCCCTGGAGTTGTTACAGTCTGTGCGTTCCCCCTTCTTAAAGAGGGGGACCACCAGGGCATCCTTCCAATCCTGCGGAACCCATGCAGTGGTCCAGACTGTTGTTATGATGTCATGTCGGGCACTCTGTGCACAAACGCCACCCTCCCTCAGCATTTTGCTTGGGAGATCATCTTTGCCCGGTGCCTTTCCTGGTCTAAGACTCTGGATCGCCTTCAGTACTTCCTCAACAGATGGCACCTCAGCCAGCCACTCCCAGGGGGTGACTTCTTCCAATACTTGAGGCACCGCAGCCTCGGCAGGGTCATCTCCACTTTGTCCCACGTTGTTTTCCTGGCTGAGGGATTTCCCCTCCCCCAGGACCTCACAGAAATTCTCAGCAAATCTGGAAACCTGTTCCTGTTCCTGGGGGTCGGAGATTGAATCACCGTTCTTTCCCCTAATGATGGTAACAGGTGTGGCGCTGCAGGTTACTTTTTTGATGGAATTAAAGAACGATTTGTTATCACGGGCCATGAAGGCAGACTCCATCTCTCAGCAACCCGCGACCACCACCCATCCTTGCAGCGCCTCACGGCTCTCTGAACCTCCGAGCGAAGGCTGCAGTAAGTCTCCTCAATCTCCGATGTGGGATGCTGTAGCCGATGAGAGTGGGCCTGTCGCTTTTTCTCAACCAGCTTGAATACCTCTTCTGTCAGCCAGGGTCTCTAGGGAGGTCTGGACCATGTACCCAAAGCAGCCATTGCAGCTGTATGAGCCACAGTCCTAATCCTCGCCCATTTACCCTCGACATCTGGAGGAGTGGGGGACGATGCCAACCCCAGCCGCAAGCGATGATCAAATTCTCGCTTACAGCTTCCCACACCTCACCACCACGCTTCCACGCCCCCTTCATTCTTTATTCAGAAGAAGAGCCACACCCTGTTGTTTGATAGTCTCCTGCCCCGAGTAGAGGACTGTCCACCTCTCATAGTGGCAGGAGCCAGAGCCGGTCCACCGGACCTCCTGAATGCCACAGAGATCCAGGCGGTACGGGTCCAGATCCCGACAGAGGAGTGGCAGCCTCTCCTCCGCAGTGAGCATTCGAACATTCCACGTGGCCACACGTAGTGGTTTATTGTTGTTTCTGGCAGAGCCCCGAGGGTGAAGATTCAGTCTCCTGGCTCCTGTCCCCCCGGGGCCTCCGGCACAAAGTTATTTATTAAATGTTGTCGTCATGGTTTAGTGGTAACTAATTGAAGGTGGAGGGGTTACCAGCCCCTCGCACCCGTCCAGAGCCCCAATTTGGCCGCTGTGGTGGTTACACACGCCATGAGGGGAAAGGCCAATCGGAATTGGCCCTCCCCCCACAGCACTGTCCACGACGGCGTTGCCCGTATGGCACCACGAGGAGGTAGGGGGTTGTTTTGCCAGATAACAACTCCACACCACTACTACCATCCAACATAGCAACTCCACACCACCACCACCTTCCAACATAGCAACTCCACACCACTACTACCATCCAACATAGCAACTCCACACCACTACTACCATCCAACATAGCAACTCCACACCACTACTACCATCCAACATAGCAACTCCACACCACTACCACCAGCAACTCCACACCACTACTACCCTCCAACATAGCAACTCCACACCACTACTACCATCCAACATAGCAACTCCACACCACTACCACCAGCAACTCCACACCACCACCATACAACATTGCAGTCTCACACCACCATCAGTATCCCCACCACACCACCTTACCCTTGTACGCTCGTGACACATACACGTTTATTTGTACATTTCAACCCCGAGGCAGGCTAATCGCTCCAGTGGAATGCAACGCGCCATGGATTGCGCTCAATCGGACTGGCGCTATGAGTGTCGTCGCAAGCGTCCCAGTCAGTGCCGGATCATCCGAGTAGCAAATATAGCTACACATGTAGCTACATGTGTAGTAGCTACATGTGTAGTAGCTACATATGTAGCTACATGTGTAGTAGCTACGGGCCCCGCACTTTCAAGGGCCCCGTGCTAAATGATTTCAAGCTATCAATTCCGGTTCAGTGATTCTGCACTTGCTCTATTACTATAGTATTACACTGCCTTCAACTTTTATGAACGACTGGGTGTTT